GTATACCGAGCGGGGTCTGATGCCAGACGAGGCCTGATGGGTGTATTGTATGCTATTTATCTTAGTGATTCTTGCATGTATTTATGTATCTGTATGAATGCCAGGCGGGGCCCGATGCTAGGATAGGCTTGAAGAATGTGATGGGCAGGGCCTATCTCATGTTCTGACAGATCTGTTTCGAGCAAGGCTCGATGTCGGGCGGGGCACAATGGTTGTGGGGAATGGATCATTGTATGTTTGATATGTATGGTATAGGGTATTTTGGGGAACTCACTAAGCTTCGTGCTTACGGTTTTCAGTGTATGTTTCAGGTACTTCATGATCGAAGGGGAAGGGCTCGGGATGATGGCATCACACACACCATATTGTTCCGCATTTTGTTGACCTTATGTATTTGAATGATTATTGACATACTATAAATTTATTTTTATGGTTTTATGAACACGTTTTGGATGATTTTTATTATTATAAAAATGAAATCTTTGGCCTTAAATTTTGGGACATTACTTCATCTTGAGAGCTCATTTTCCTAGATTATTTGTGTTGCCAGTTAACATAGATTTCTTAGTTAGTAATTATGGGGACAGTCACACAAGTGAGAGATTCCTTGGAATCATCCTATTGGTGGTGGAATATTAGCTTCTCAGTTTCAACAATTAATGGATGTGCTAAATATGGTTCATATTTCAGAGCAGACCGACACTTGGAGATGAGATTTTAGGTTGGATAATGTTTTTTTCGGTTAAAGACACAATATCTCATTTGGATCTTCTGGAGCTTCCTTTTGCTGATGGTATTACTAGGTGGAATATATTTCTTTCGATTAAAGTTATCATTTTATTTGGAGACTTATTCTTAATAGGCTACCTACTAGATGCAACTAGATAGAAGAGGTGGTGATGTGGATTCAGTTATATATCTGTGTTGTCGTGTTGAGCAAGAGTATGTGGAACATTTGTTCTTAAAATACACTTTGGCTCGACAACTTTGGAAAAAGCTTACCGTTAGGATAAACCAATCAGTTCCTCTTTTTTATTCTTTTCAAGATTTGTTGCAATAATTGATAGCCAAGTTGTAACAAGTTTCCGAAGGGTGATTATGGAGAGGATTTGTGTTACTTTGATTTGGGTTCTTTGGACATATCGGAACACGATAATTTTCGGGAACGTGAATTACAGAAAAGAGTTTATGTTTGATTCCACTGTTTCCATGGTTGCAAAACCCCTCATGAACTAATTGTTTGTTCATTTGCTAGTTTCTAGCTAGCATTTTTTTAATACATATAGTTGTTCCACCAAAGCAAGAGTAATGGCAAAAAGAGGATATCATGCTTTCGTATTCAATATCGATTTGGATACAAAATTTCCTATGTTGTTGTATAAAACATAGTCAAATCGAGATCATAATGAACGACCAACAATTAAAAAGACGTTAATAATCACATTGCAAATATCATACAAGTACCCAAAGATATTATCTCAAAATATTTGAATAACCTTTGAATAGACCGAAATATTTTTCCTTGCGACTCTCTAGTGATATTAAATTCTTACTGCATGATTGAACGGTACGTTGCGAACAAACCATTAGTACTCTTGAGAGGAAAAAATTATTGAGTTTTACTTGATGAAGATCAATGAATCTAGCATAAATATTTATCATGAACCAAAAATTATATATATATATATATATATATATATATATATATATATATATATATATATATATTTTATCATGAACCAAAAATTATACATGTGAATATATATATATATATATATATATATATATATATATATATATATATATATATATGTGTGTGTGTGTGTGTGTGTATTGCATTGTGTTTAACAAAAACTTGTCCGCAAACTCATGGTATTTTTGTATGTTAATGACCAAAAAATGGCTTTATGATAAATCACTACCATTTTATATTATATGAATAACTCACAAATCAATGTTTTTTTAACAAAATCTCAAAACAAACCCAACCCTGAGACTTATTCTTAATAGGCTACCTACTAGATGCAATAGAAGATGTGTTGATGTGGATTCAGTGATATACCCGTGTTGTCGTGTTGAGCAAGAGTATGTGGAGCATTTGTTCTTAAAATACACTTTGGCTCGACAACTTTGGAAAAAGCTTACGGTTAGGATAGACCAATCGGTTCCTCTTTTTTATTATTTTCAAGATTTGTTGCAGTTGATTGATAACCAGGTTGTAACAAGTTTCCAAAGGGTGATTATGGAGACGATTTGTGTTACTTTCATTTGGGTTTTTTGGACCTATCGGAACGCGATAATTTTCGGGAACATGAATTACAGAAAAGAGGTTATTTTTGATTTCGTTGTTTTCATGGTTGCAAAACCCCTCGTGAACAAATTGTTTGTTCCTTTGCTAGTTTCTAGCTAGCATTTTTTAATACATATAGTTGTTCCAAAAAAAGAAGAGTAATTGCAAAAGGAGATTTCGTGTTTTCGTATTCAATATTGACATGGAGACGAAACTGTTCTATGTTGTATAAAAATAATCAAATCGATCATAATGAACAACCAACAATTAAAAAGACATTAATAATAACATTGCAATTATTAGACAAGTACCCAAAAATATAATCTCAAAATCTTTGAATAATCTTTGAATAGACGAAAATATGTTTCCTTGCAACTCTCTAGTGATAATTTGTTATGTTTTGACAAACACAAACAAACTCCAAGAGCAAAAAGAGAAATACGGGCCAGGCCAGATGGGAGTGACCGTGGAGTAACCGGCCCGCCAAGTCCATCAGCTCAGGGGACAATAAAAAAGACGACAGCCCAAACAAAACTTGAGGCGAATTCGAATTAATTCTGCAGTGACAGACGTGACGCAAGAGATATTCCCAGGCTTCGATTGCTGGGTTCGCAGATGTTAGTTGATTCTCCAGCTCTAAAACGGAGGAGATTCGCCGATCAACTTGCTATGGTTTGTGTTGCGTTTTTGTTCTAGTTTTTCCGTAACGTTGATCGAATCTGATAGGGGTTTATCTTGTTTGAATTTGTCTCTTCTGTAAAGTATTCCTATCGGTTTCATAAGAATCAATGAAAATCAATCAATTAGGGTTCAAGAATTATTATCCGATTGAAGATTGTTGGTCAGCATAATCAATGACCAATACATTATTTTAAGTATCGGATAAAAAATCAATTAACTCAGGAACATAAGAACAACATTGTGTAACTTATTTTTGTCTTTTCGATTTGGAATATCTACTAGGTTCCTTACATACAAAGTTATTTGTATTGATCTTATCTTGTTTTGAACTGCTAGAATTTGAACATACAATCAATTGAAGCATTAAGAAAAGTAAAGAATTAACATAAGACAAGACTTGAAGTTTTTTTTAGCTATTATATGTTGGATCTACAATGCCTGATGTTTTGCAATGATGATACTAAGTGTTGATGATATGTTTAATTCAGGAAAAGCGTGTTGCTGCAAAGAAAACTTATGGTCGGGAAATCCGTGTATTCGAGACAACAACAGCAACAATCTCTCAAACATCAAATGATGTCTCTGGCAGTGGTAGGAAGTTCACTTCCCCTGTAACTAAGAAGTAATATTCGATTTCACAGTTAGCTTTATGATTTCACATGAACATGTTCTTTATCATTTGGACAGAGGAACCAGATGACCTGGAATTCACCACTGCAGATTATTATCGCATCTTGGCTACAAAAAAAGAAGGTGATATCTGTTCTATTAGTTATTGTTGCTATAATATTTGCTCTTTTCATCACAATTTGTGTGCAATTGTGAGTAGATAAATATTTGAAAACAAAGAAAATTCGAGACGCAGAAGCAGCAGCTAGTAGATCAAGAATTACCAAGGTAGATGTTAACTTAAATTGGGAAGCAACTTCTTTTATCTTTTGTAAAATTTTATTTTTCAGATTATCATTTTAAGTATGATGTAACTAACTATATTATTTTCATTAATTCATTTATTTATATAATAATATACAGGCAGTGATTCGTATAAGGTTCTCACTTCCCAGATAACCACACATTAGAAGCCACATTCCATCCAACAGAGACAATGCAAAGCTTAGTTGATCTTCTTGTGAAAGTTGTAGCTCGACCAGACCTCCCTTTCTATATATGTGAGCATACAATATAACTTAATAAAGCATAGTGAAAATGAATAAATATATATAAGGGCATTCTTGGCATTTTTTTTTGTACAGATACTATACCTCCCAAGAAGCAAATAAAGAACATGTCTCAAGATTTCTATTCTGCTGGTTTTGCTCCTGGTGCAATCGTCTATTTTCATATGACTTACCACAAGGTTGATACTTGTTGGCTGTTGCATTCTCCTACATCTCTAAATAAAATATTGATGAAATTTATTTAATGGTGTGTTTGTACTTTGTATGTCAAGGTGATGATAATACTGTTGCACAAAGCCCATTTCTTAAAGAGGATGTCATGGCTTTAAAAGATCTAGACGGCCTTATACCCGAGCCTGTTGTGATGGCTGCTGCTCCAGTACAGAAGCCAGCTGGCGAGAAGAAAATGGTGAAGCCAAAATGGTTGAAAATGTGACAATTCAAGGTAAAAAAAATCTTTATAAATTGTAATCTAAATGGAACTTGATTTGGTTTGTAAAACACTATTAGAAGGGGAGAATGGATTGATTTTCTTGTTAAGGTTTAAATTGTAATTGTAAAGTATTACCAAGTCTTTATCAATTCATTGTTTGGAACTCATTTAATTTCAACTTGTCTTTTATGTTAATAGATGTAAAGTTATGGTATATAAGTTTTGTTAAGGGAGTTTTCGGATGTGCATTCACAAGGTGATACATATATAGACGTGTGTGAAAATGCGAATAAGATAATTAGTTAAAACAAATGATTGAAGATGAAGAATTTTAATATAAATTTATATTTACTCATGGAAATTGTTTTATTTTGGCAGCAATTCCACAAGCTTCTAAAAATCTTTTTGGCTTGGTTATTAATGGGTCAAATAGGAAATAGATTACTGAACTGATCCTATTGAACATTGGATTAGATTGGTTTTAACAGTCGGATATTTATTATTTGTTATCCAATATGTCCGATTGGATTCATGCAATGTCCATTCATTTTGTATCATTTTTTTTGTTTAAACACATTATATTTGACCCCTTAAATTTGTCTTTAGGTATGTGGTAGTCCCTTAATGCGTACATTTGTCTGTCATTGAGTCTTGACTGACCTACTATCTCTTGATGGGTTGTACCTATCATTCAGACATTCACATCAAAGTTAATGACTTAGAAACAAATGCACAAAGAAAACCAAATGTATAACCTTAACTTTGGTGCTAAATGCAATAGCAAGAATTTTAAAAAATTTAAACCTCAGTAGTAAAATCAACTTTATCATGTTTTATATATACAGTTGTTCAATGCAAACAGATAAAGCAACATTTAAGCCACATGTGATCATAGATCTATTTCTTTACTAAGCAAACAAAATCTCCTAAAGAGCCAACCCAATATAGGATCATAAACAGTGGCCAAGATGAGTTTTATTTTTTATTTTTTATTTTTGGTTGCAAATTTATGCAATTATTCCATTTCATCAATAAAAAGACAAATACAAGCTTTGATTTATACAAAAATAAATTACAAAATAGTTCAAATTGATAATCTCTCAACCAACAATTAAAAAAAAATACAATCAAGTAATTTATCATAGTTGATTTCAAAGAAAAATATACGTCCACTTGTTAGACTTAGGGCTCCAAACGGTTAAGATTGTTTACAAGTTATTTCAAATCGTTTTTTATCGAGTTTGAGGACAAAAAGCAAATTTGGAACATATTATAAGTTAAGTTCAAGCTTATAGAGACTTACTTTGAATTATTATAGAGCATATGTAGCTTTATGTGATAATTTGTAATTAAAATTTGCTAAAGAGCCAAGGACTCTTTGAAGAAGAAACTTATTTGAGGGAGCAAACATGGCTATTATACTAACTTCTGGGTTTAAAATGCTCTTTCATTTAAACGAAGTTATGTGATGAAGCCATATACCGAAAACAATATATACAGGACACGTGCGTCGTCTACGACAGTCGGTCCAATTAATAAGCGGAAAACGTCCGGCGATCACTACATATCTGTTCGTCGGTGAAGAACACAGCTTTCGATCAGTTTCATATTCCTTAGACCTATCCTTCTAATCACGATTAACAACATCAGCGAGCTTGCAATACCTCAAGAATTTAGAGATTATTGATTTCAGTTCTCATGATTTTATTGATCTTCACTTGACATCGTGCTGTGATTAGGTAAATACTATGTTTGAAATATTTGAACTGCTTTTTTGGTCATATATTGAATTGATTTTGTTAAATTCCACCACATTTCTCTCCTATCACTATTTACAGTTTAGAATGCATAGCATTCTTTTGGTTATATATAAATCTCTATGGTTATTAACTGAAATTTAGAGAAGAATTGGTCAATTGTCTTTGCTAACTTATAGGTTTAGTATAACACTGTTTATGTTTAATCTCAATTGTGAAATCTGATCGTATTTCTGGTGATCATAAGTAACTGATTTTCTTTCAAATTAGCTCTAGTTTGTTTTGTTTGTTCTGTGTTGCAGGAAGGAGCTATAACCAAGCGTGATATAGTTCATCTTGTGAGTGTAAACCTATTTGGGTGTGAACCTGCCATGAGTAGCTGTACCACCCTCTTTAGTTGACAAATGAATCCCTCCTTTGTTGACAATAAGAACTCAAATGGCAACTTCGTATGTTCACATAATGAACACAATAAATGGTAGCAGTAGTAATTGTAGGCTTGTTTAAGTATAAATAGAGGCTCTAACCTCAGTTGTAAGACACCACAAAACAGAGAGTGTAGTGTGTAATACTTAGAGTGAGTATTAGAGGGTTGTTTCTTTTTCTTGTAATATTGAGTGTGTAAGCTCTTCTCTTTTGTTCTAGTTCTGAATAAAAGTGTGTTTCAACCCCAACAAGTGGTATTAGAGCTTGGTTAAGCTCCGGGGAAACATTCTTTGTTTTTTGGTCGAAAATTTTTTGTCTCAAAAACAATTTCGGAGTACACCGTTGGAAAGGTCTCGTTCTGTGGATTCCGAAAATATACTTTTTTTAAATTTTTTGACCACCGGAAGGCCTCCAAATCACCGGTCAAAGTTGGTCAAATCTGCCGGAAAAGTCGCCGGAAAAACCAGGGTTCGCCGGAGAAGACGGTACTGTAGCAGCACTGTAGCAGTGACATCAGCAGTGACGTCAGCAGCTGACCAAAGTTCTGGAAATTGCAGTTTAGCCCCTGTTCTTCCGGAAAGTGCAATTTGGCCCCTGTTTTTCAGAAAAATTGCAATTTTGGTCCCGTTTTTCAGAAAAATTTCAATTTAGCCCCTGTTTTACTTCTGTAAAAGTTCTGTTTGCCCCCTGAACTTCTGAAAAGTTCATATTGGTCCCCATACTTCAAAATATATATATATATATATATATATATATATATTCTTACTCGTGTATGCCCAAGTATATGCCAAGAATGACTACACCAACCTCGTCATCTTCTCAAGCCGGAGTTGAAAGTTTTCAAAGGACCGGGAAAGACGGTAGCGTTACGTTACACTATCCAATGCTCACGAAGATGAACTACGCGGTGTGGGCCATAAAAATTCGAGTGAATTTACAAGCATAAGGAGTATGAGATGTAATTAAAAATGCAGAAACGGACGAACGTAAAGATCGGATGGCTCTTGCGGCTATTTATCAAGCAATTCCAGAGGACGTACTTATGATGTTAGCTGAGAAGGACACAGCTAAAGAAGCATGGGAAACGCTCAAGATGATGCACATGGGAGCCAATCGGGTCAAGGAGGCTAAAGCTCAAACCTTGAGAAGTGACTTCGAGGTGATCCGGATGAAAGACAGTGAATCGGTAGATGATTTTTCCATGAGATTGAATACTATCGTAACCAGTATTCGATCTCTTGGTGAAAAGATTGAAGAAATTACGGTTGTGAAGAAGTTTTTGCGAGCCGTACCGATACGATTTATACAAATCGTAACATCGATCGAGCAATTCGGAGATTTGAAGAATATGACGGTGGAAGAAGTTGTGGGTCGTCTTAAGACCCATGAAGAGAGACTTCGAAGCTATGGAGAAAAAGAAGAAGGACCTTCTCTATTGCTTACACATGTCGAGTGGGCATCTCGTTCGAAGCAAACTGGCGAGAGAAACTCGTCAAACACTTCAAGAGGACGAGGAGGACATGGTAACCGAGGCCGGGGACGAGGCCGAGGTCGTGGACGTGGCCAAGGAGGTGGTCGCGAGTACAATACAAATCGGAATGACCATAATCCTTCTCGAAAGGATAAAAGTAAAATCAAATGTTTTACTTGTGAACAATTTGGTCATTATGCTTCGGAGTGTCCAAACAAGAATCGAGGTGAGGAGGCAAACGAAGAAGAGCCAACGAAGAAGAGCCTATTTTAATGATGGCAACCTCACAAGAATATGCACACAAAAAAGTGTCTCTAAGAGAGAAGATTTGTGTTAATCTTCTTGCATCGGGAGAAAGTCGAGTCGAGTCTGAGGTATGGTATCTCGACAACGGTGCTAGCAATCACATGACTGGAGACCGCTCAAAGTTTCGGGAACTAGATGAGCACGTTACGGGCCATGTGAAATTTGGGGATGGTTCGACCGTCGCTATTTTGGGAAAAGGGTCGATTTTATTCGATAGCAAAAATGGCGACCAAAGACTCCTTAATGAGGTATATTTCATTCCAAGTCTAAAAAACAATATTATTAGTCTTGGACAAATGACGGAGGAAGGGAGTCGGGTCATAATGGATGGGTCGGATCTGACATTGTTTGACAGAAACAAAACTCTACTTTTGAGAGTTAAACGATCCCCAAACCGGTTATATAAAACTCCTTTAAGGACCGGTAGACCGACTTGTCTTTTAGAAACAAAAGACGAACTAGCTTGGATATGGCATTCTAGACTCGGTCATGTTAACTTTCTCGCCTTAAAGAAGTTGTCCGAAAAGAATATGGCAATCGGAGTCCCAAAGATTGAGCACCCAAACCAAGTATGTGAAGGGTGCGTTCTTTCCAAACAAACCCGAATTCCTTTCCCGGATCATGCAGTTTTTCGAGCTCAAAAACCTCTACAACTTGTTCATGCGGACTTATGTGGTCCGATCACACCTACGTCTGTTGGAGGGAGTAAATATTTTCTCCTTTTGGTAGACGATTTTAGCCGGTGGATGTGGGTTTACATGCTATCGGAGAAGTCTCAAGCCTTGAGCGCTTTCAAACCGTTCAAGTTGATGGTTGAAAAGAATTCGGGTTATCAAATAAAGACACTTCGAACGGACCGAGGGGGAGAGTTCACTTCAAAAGAATTCTCATTATTTTGTGAAGAAAATGGTATTCAAAGGCATCTTACGACACTATATTCACCTCAACAGAACGGAGTTGTAGAAAGGCGAAATCGGACCGTTATGGACATGGCAAGAAGTCTGCTCAAAGGTAGAAATGTTCCGGGAGAGTTTTAGGGAGAA